TCGTTCTTCAGCTCCAGAATCTGGCTGCGCAGCTGGCTGACCTCGCTCTCCAGCCGCGTGTTGGCCTGCGTCACATCCATGCATTTGCATTCGAGCTGGCGCATGTGCTCCTTCTTCTTACGCCGGCACTTGTTGGCCGCGATCCGGTTGCGCTCCAGGAACCGCTCGCGCTTCTGATTTTTGACTGTTTCGCGGTCGGGAGAATAGCTGCACGGATGCTGGGCCAACAAGTCGCTCGGCCGCTGGGTCGCGTGGCTGTAGCTTCCCGCGCTGCCGGCGGAGCTGCCGCTGCTGATGCTGCTGACGCTACCGCGCGAGGTGAGCTCGTGCATGGCTACGGGGTAGGAAGGTGGACTTGCGGCTAAGGGGTGGTGGCGGGCCGTAGTGCTATCGTCGCGGAGGGGGTCTTTTGATGCGAGGTGCTGGTGGGGGTGCGGGCGCATGTACGGAGGGGTTGGTTGGTCTGGGGAGAAGAGGTCGAGCTCAATGAGGGCGTCCATGAAGGTTTGTTGGTGTTGGTGTTGGTGTTGCTGCTGGAAGCTATCCAGTCCCTCTGCAAATGAAGCGGGTACCCTCGGTGTGCTGCCGCTCATTGACCATTCTTGCATCCCGTCGAATAATGGCACCGTTAGGAAGTCGGAGGAGACGGGGCTTTCCACGAGGAATGGCATTGGGCCTGTCCAGGTGATACCAGTTTTGGACGGGGCCCCCGGTGCGGAGGACTGGTCTATTTGCACGGGCATGGTGGGTTGGCTTGGTTTGGCTCTCTTGAGTCTGCCAGAGGTAATGTTTGTGGAAGATATGTATGAAATGATCTCAACTCAATGGGCTAAGATATATCGACAGGACAATGCCGCAGCAAGGTGTCAGACCGGAAGGACAGGACTTGTGTAACTATATGGATAGAGGATAGTGACAAGGAAATTGCCTCTGGGTCATCAATCATCAATATGCAGGAAGTCTATTGCCAGATGAGATAGTGGAAAAGGTATGGAGTAGAAAGGCCAAGGTGTGCAGTCAGGAAACACCCTACTTTTTATCAGGAACCACGCAGACTTCCCCAAACCACGGCCTGGCAATGACGGTGCATGGGGGGCCAGTCAGCAGAGAGATTTGAGGCATTCAGGACAGATGGAGGATTTTCCGGCATGGAAGTGGGGTAAGGGTGGGTCCATCTTTGTAGGGATCGGCTCTCATAACATAGGGCGCGAGATTTTTGCAGTGAAGGCGGTTGAAGACGATGGGACGACAGTTGACAGGAGAAGGAGGATAACTCCTTGCGGCCTGATTAGTCGTGTCTATGAGCCGGTGGGCTGAACCCGATGTTCGAGAGACGGTCGAGCTGAGTTGAAAAACGGTTCGATATCTTGGATCGCGGGGCGAATGCAAAATGACGACTCCAGTCGATCTGCTGCCTCCGCCTCATCCGACCGGGAGGGAGGGAGGATTTGTCTGCGAAAGTACTGCAGGGCTTATCCGACCAGACAGATGCAGCGAAGTGTCTAGAAGGATGCGTTGAGTTTTCTGCTTCCTGACTATACACAGTACTGAGTCTATTCATGATTTGATTCTATTGACCACATCCTATTGTCGTAGTTTCTTATTGTTCGACTGCAACCAGCACCTGCATGACTAATCTGCCGATGCCTTCCGCTTCGAGCTCTGGCAGCTC